AATAAATAATCAGCTAAATCAATTGGAGGCCCAGGAGGATGTTTTTTGGAAGCAACGAGCGAAGCAGCACTGGCTCCGGGGAGCAGATGCCAATACAAAGTTCTATCACAGGCATGCCTTTGCTCGTAAGAAAAATAATGCTGGGGTGTGGGTGGAAGGGAATGATATGCATTCAGTGATCTTGGATTATTTTAGAGGTATTTTTGCTTCTAATGGCGCCAATTGTTCTGACCCTTTATTTGATAATTTTGAACCAAGAGTGTCCCATGATCAAAATGTTATGTTGGAGCGTCCTTTTGTAGTTGATGAGGTTAAAGTAACAATTTTTTCTATGTTCCCTGATAAGGCTCCGGGCCTGGATGGAATGAATCCAGGGTTTTACCAGCATTTTTGGAGTATAGTGGGGGAGGATGTGTCGGAGCTTATAGTAAGGAGTTTAAATACATGTGTTTTCCCGGATGGTTTGAATGATACTAATATTGTGTTGATCCCGAAAAAAGACACACCTGAAACGGTTGCGAATGTGAGGCCGATTGCTTTGGGTAATGTTCTCTATAGAATAATGGCCAAGATGATAGCTAATAAGATGAAACCACTATTGTGGGACCTTATCTCGGAATCCCAGACTGCGCTTATCCCAAGAAGGCTAATCACGGATAACATTCTTGTTGCAGTAGAGGTGGGGCATTATCTGAACAGGAAACAGTGTGGTTTAGTGGGGTGGTGTAACACCCCCTTAAAACAAGCTATAATAAAAGCCTTAACGCATGCAGATATCATAACAAAACTCTAGCACAGCGGAAGATAAAAGGGTAACTGGATAACATAAAATCCAAAACAGAGGTGTTATGCCACGCTTATCAACACGATAAACGCTACGGCCAAATCTGCATGGTATACAACTATCCAAAAACTCATAGTCTAAAGCTAAATCGGCTCACAGGCCGTAAAGCAAGGGAAAGATACTACACTATCGGGCACTAGACATCACCTGTAAGAACATAAAGATACACATGGGACGACGCCCGGTCAGCGAATAATGCTGGTAACCCACCAATACATGTGAAATATCATACATAGATAAGATATAAGTTGTAAAGCCATTTTCGAAACGGAATACATAAGTATATAAGAACAAAAGCAAGTGTAATAGCTAACATAAGACTCAACACTCTCAACAAACAACACGGGAACACATCCCAAAACCACAAGAACAACACGACTCAAAAAAGAGTCAAGGCATGATCTATCATCACTCAATAGATCAAAACCCGACAAGCACCACGCCAAAGAATAAGACTTACACACCCGGCAACACACGCCAAGGCAACACATGCCTCTGTGACTACACACGTCACAAGAGAAGAACACACAACACCGGCTACAATAACCCTCGCGACATCACCCATCACGAGTTGGCATGCCTGCCTTATGCCCTGTTCCAACCTTATGGCTACCCCCAACCTTGTTTCTTCTTTCCAACCATTACCTCCAGGACCCCTGTACTTCTTAGTCCAACCTTTTCCCTCCAGGACCGTCGTCCCCCACCAACAAAGCCACCAATTTCATAGTACACGAGGTACCGTACACACACACGGCAACACATGCCTTCCCAAGAAATACGTGGACCCATCACTCAGGCCACAACTCCATAATCACGTCACGGCCACCACGAGGACCGCTGCAATACCTTGGTGACTAGTGTCCCATACCACTAATCGTGCAATCCAGGTAAAGCCACACATGCATCACACTTCAACGAGAATCAATCAACGGATTACAACGAAGGTATGAAACATACTCAATCAAGGAATGGGTCACAGCCCAACAACAACAACGATGAATAACACAAGTTATCATCAACCAATCGGAAGGTACAAACAACACACACGCTAGCATTTAGATACCAAACTAGCATGCTTATCAAACGGATAAACCAAAGGTAGTTCCGAAGAAACACTCAAGACACATCACGGTTCAACGAAACACAATGTTGAACACTTAGCACGATTCAAGACACCAAAGCCTACATGGATTCCTACCATATAGTTCTAGACATACGAAACATCAAGAAGACACTCAAATAGTTCCACCAAAGAACAACAGGAAGTCAAAAGACCAAATACCGAGTCAAAAGAATCACGGGGAACAAATCCCCCAACAACTTTAGAAATAGGTACAACATGACTTTGAAGTTGACTAGTCAAATACTAGTCCTCAAGTATTAAAAATCAGGATTTTAGGAATTAATTCTTCAATTGAAATAGGATTAATTACTCAATTAATCCATGAATTGAATTTGGATTTTTGGGGTGTCACATCCTCTCCCCCTTCAAAGAAGCTTCATCCCCGAAGCTTGGGTACGACGAATTAAAAGCAAACGGTGAAGGGAAACAACATTGTGACAAGAGGTTCAAGAACAAACTCTTTTGGTCAAAGACTCCAAAAGAATTCACAAGAATTTCAAAACAAAGAAGTATTCCAAAGCAAGAAAGAAGGTATTTCAATTCAAAGATTGGCAAGAGTTTAACAAACGGATAGATTGAGCATCAAGAACTCTAGCCTCAACACAACTACCGAATTCTAGACAACAACCAAGAACTAGACAACCAATACCAACTACTAAGCTACTAAACAACAAAGCAACAAGCAAAAACAAGCAAAAAGTGAACAACAAACAACCTACAAACGGCAACAACGGCTAAGAAGATACAACAACTAAGGAAAGGCGAACAAGATAGCCACAGCTTCACACTAGAATGACTCGGTCTCCGACTCCTCGGTGCTCTCCTTGGATTCTTCATCAGACTCTTCGTCGGCTCTTCCTCGGCTAGAACTGGCCTCAAGCTGGTCCAACCTCTGGTTAACCGCGACGGACGGCGTCTAGGGATGGCAACGGGGCGGGGCGGGGGGGGGGGGGGGGAATATACTCCCCGTCCCCGTCCCCGAATTCCCAACCCCGTCCCCGTCCCGGTGGGGAATTAAGCGGGGACGGGGATTACCCATCCCGTCAACTCTTAAATAAAATTTTAAATTTTTTAAAAAAAATCTAAGTTTTAATTTTTATATATATATATATATATATATATATATATATATATATATATATACATATATATATATATATATATAATGCAATAGCCATTGTAATGCCAAGGCAGTACGTACAGTACTACAGTGACATTACATTTATATATATATATATATATATATATATATATATATATATATATATATATATATATATATATATATATATATATATTTATTTATTTATTTATTTATTTATTTATAAAAATTAATCGGGGACGGGACGGGGCGGGGCGGGGAGGGGAATCCCCGTCCCCGACGGGGAATTGTTTACATTCCCCGTCCCCGTCCCCGTTCCCCGAAAGTTTTCCTTATTCCCGTCCCCGTCGGGGCGGGGATTGGGGATCCCCGTCGGGGACGGGGCACATTGCCATCCCTAACGGCATCTTCATAAAAGCAAAGCAACTAAACCAACTACTCAAACTACAAGCTAACAACCACGGCAAACAAGAGAAAACGACTAAACGCACATCTGAGCAAACAACTACCAACGAACCTACTAACAAAACAAGCAAGGGACACAACAAGGTTTCACAACGAAAACGGTCGGCTTGCGAAACGGATGACAAAGCTTAAGAGATGGGTTGCAAACGGGGTTTTAAGCAACAAAGATGTTCTCCACTAACCGAGGTTACAGGAAACAAGGGTTCAAATTAAAGTGGTGAGATAGATAGGTTTGGTCACAACGAAGTTCAACACCAAAACCGTCGATTGACAAAACGAGAGACAAGGCTGAGAGATAGGTTGAGGGTCCACAAAGGTAAGACAAGAAAGAAAGATAAGGTGATAGATAAAAGATTTACCGGAAAGGAAAGCTAACTTCACACCGAGCCTAACTCCTGCTCAAACTAGCCAACGATCTACTCAAAACGAGACGGCTCAGCTAAGGAACAAGCCACAAACAGAAACTGACACCACAAGAACTCTAAACCAGATCACTCGGGATCACAGAACCAGGGTTGCATCTTCAACTGATCTCTGCTGGCTTCTTCAACCAAAGGAGACAAGGTACCCCCACTACTTAACTTGAGCTCGGCATCTGCTTGAACTTGATTTGTCACTTCTGACAAAAGCTTCAACTGCTAGATCCAAAACACGAGTTGGATGTCCTTCTCTCCGGCTCTTGGGCTAACTTGATGCTGGCTACCGACTTAACACTTGCATTAGCACACCACTTCCAACTCTCTAGAAAGCAACGCTTGAAACTTCAAAACTTCGGTCCGGATGAAAGGTCCAAAACAGGAACGGTAACAAAGGAGAAAGGTAACTCAGAGAAAAGAAGGCTCACAAGAAGAGATGCGGTTCAACGGAAAGGATTATAGCGAAAGGTTTGGGTTCAGAAACTCAAGGACCACGTTACTTAGGAGTAGGATCGAAGTCATCAAAGTTGCAACTTAGGAAATAAGGTTGCCACCTTGCACAGAATCGTTAGAAGCGGGGAAAACAAGAACGAGGTTCGATTCAAAGGGACGATCAAGGTAAGAGTTTAGGTTCAACAATTCGAGGACCATGTTGATTAAGAAGAAGAGAATTGTAAACGACGCTACAACTCAAGGAGTAAGGAATCAAAACGGGGTTTTAGTGATTGAAAGAATTTCCCCACAGAGGGTATCCGGTTTGAGCTCAAGGATAGCAATAATTAGGAAGGGGATCAAGATTTTCAAAGTCACAACTTAGGAAAGATGAGGTCGTAACCTTGAACAGAGTCAAATTAAGAGAGGAACAAGAACGAGGTTTGAAAGAATTGAAAGGATTTCCTAATGAAGGGTACTAGATTGAGGCTCAAGAATAACGTAGATTAAGAAGGAAATCAAGATTTTCAAGATTACAACTTAGGAAAACGAGGTTGTCATCTTGTATAGAATCAAATTAAGAAGGAAACGAGAAAGACGCTCGAAGAGATAGGAAAGATTTCTCGGAAAGGGACAAGGGGTGAAGATCGGTTTCAAGAGGTAAAAGGGTTCACGACTCCTGGCGAAACTTCGGCTTGACGCTGTACACTAAGCTTGTCGAACAGAAGGCTCTCTACCACGACTCAGACACGGCTTACTCTTAGGCCTTGCCAAATTTCTTCATAAGCTAATGACACCGCCGCCTTGCACAAGATGGTTTGGAAGAACACAAGAACAAGGTTCGGAAGAAAAGGATCATTTGGCAAAAAGGATGATTGGGTTTGTCTAAAGGAAAGAAGAGATTAACGATGGTCAAGGCAACACTCAAACAAGCTAACGCCAGAAGCTAACTCACCCAACAAAGCCTACACCAGTAATGCCAACTTCTACCAAACGGGGAATTTAGGGACAAACCTGAAAGAAGGAGTAACGGAAGTGGGAGACCGCTCCCTCCAGCATGAGCGAACCCTTCCGGAACTGGTTAAGAATGGGCGCAACTATCCCAGCCCGGAGACCGGGAACGCCAATTAAATGCAAGAAAGAAAAGTAGTACATAAACAACATCTTTTCTCAATCGTTAGCACGAATTGTCGAAAAGGACTCGATATGACAAGAAGAGGCGACAGACGCATGAAAAGTATCATACAACTAGAGCCTCCCGGCGATAAGGGTCTTACCTGGGAATAAGGACCTTGATGATTTTAAGACACCGTAAGAAGTACATGTAACACACAAAATCGCCAAAACACCATGCGACGTCAAAGACAGTCAATCAATGCATTCCAAGGAAGAGAAATGCATCACCAAGCACTTGGTCACCAAAGGACTGAACAAAGAACGAGCGACAAGCCGAGCTCCAAGAAAAACCAAGAAGGCTTATCATTAATCAAGCAAGGCAAAGACAAAGTTGGCTTATAACCAACCACCCGGTGAAGGTGACGAGGTTGATAATTGGAAACCAGACCCGACCTACTGAGCAAAAAGAACATGCGAGAGTCTTGACTCATCTATAAACTCGTACCTAAGGATCAATAAAACTATACGATGGGCCACCCTATGTATTCAATTCCCTTCTATTGTGCACACGGACATGGGGCTTGTCGGGACTTGAATCTATGCATTCTTGGGATTTTCCCCGAAGGAATTCATTCTTCCTAGTCACCTTCCCGCGGGTCCCCAACGGGACCTTGACGGGTCCCCAACAGGAGCTTGGCAGGAGGACGACCGCCCACCTCGCGCCCACTGGTACAATGTGCTGATTTCTTAACTCCTCACTTTATTGATTCATGGCGCACTTGTGTGCCTCGATTGATGAACGCGAGTCTTGGGTAAAGAACCATGGGTCGCCCAAACATGGTGTCATCGGTAAAAGACCTTGACACGCAAGACACCATCGGAAAAGCACAACTAATTGCATTACACGTGGGGTTGAAGTTGGACTCTACGATGCAACCGACCAGGGATGATTGGCATAAAGGATTGTGCAAACCAAGGAGGCGAGTTGGGAACTCGTGCTAAGGACTCACAAAGACCTTAAAAGTCAAAATGCTAAGGATGGACCGGGACTCCTTCAAACCATGGATATCGTTCAAGCAAATCAGATGACTCCTTACAAGTTGTATGGAATCAAGAACCACGTAGTCCGTGGTGCTAGGCAAAAAGTAAAAAGCACATTTGTGCCAAGATCTCAGGGGTCATTAAGGACCCACAAGGAAATGAGATGACTCGTAAAGTCACCGAGTCATTCCACAACGAGGTTAGGTAACCAACTGCGCTTCAAAAGGAAAAGAACATGCAAGGACACCCTCACCATTAAAAGTAGCACAAAAAGGCACAACTAGTCGAACCTCGGGGAAGACATGAAGTCTTACTAAGAATTACATTCACTAAAGAGGAGATGAAATTCAATAAGAAGGGAAAATCAACCCAAAGTTTACCGACTCCCAAGAAACTTTGGGAAGAATTTGGGAAGTGCGCCCTAAGAGATTGGCTTGGTTGACCAAACTTGGTCAAGACCTTGGACGCATTAAAGAAGTAAGTGTTAAATCATCACGGGAGATTCCCTCAAGATAGGGGAGAAGGATGAAACCTTAGCCTGGGAAGCAAGGTCTAACAAGGATCTTAAAGTCAAGCAAGTGCCAACACCAAGGAAGAAGGATCATCAGTTCGTCAATACGTCGTGATCAAAGCATCAAACCAGAATAGTCACTTGAAGATCAAGAACCCTTAACCCATCCTAGCCGAATTCCCTTCCCCCCCTCGGAAAATCAGCCCCCTCCTTATTTCAAAACCCTTTCTACCCTTCAACCACACTCTTGATCCCCTATTTTAACAATTCCATACAAGGTGGCAACCTCGCACCCTAAGTTGCAACCTTGAAAACTTTGATCCTAATTCCTAAATTCACTTTGTCCTCAGGTTTGAAACCCAGTCTCTTAGCCCTTTAAACCTAATCGTTCCCAAAAACCCAGCACATATAAACATACAATTATACAGTTTCCCCGTAGAATGCTTTCGCTATAGGACCACCGTACTACTTTGGACTCGTTACCCCCGCAATGACTTCCAAGCTTCGGGGACGAAGCTTCTCGTAAGGGGGGGAGAGTGTAACACCCCGTGTTACGGCCTTCAATCCCGGATTAATTATTTAATTAATCCCGTTAATACTAATTAAATATGATTTAATTCGGTTAGGTTTCCTTTAATTAATTAATAAGGTCCACCATGAACCGTGGACCCTTGCCTAAATTAGAGTCCTAAGCCTATTAGGAATAAAGAAAGTAAACCCTTTACTATTCAGATTCTAATCAGGAATCCTAGACCTAGTTATCTATTAGGAATAAAGGAAGTAGGCCTTTTACTATTCAGACTACGATTAGGATTCCCTTTAATTAATTAATATGGTCCACTATGGACCATGGACCCTTATCCCTAAACCCAATCCTTAGTTCCAAAAGGAATGGAATTAGCAAGCCTATAATATTAGTTCCTAACCAGGACTCCTAAATATATAAATAGGGGACTTAAGAGGCACCTAGAACCCCCCCCCCCCCCCACCACAATAAACGACTCACCACCCCAAAGAGCTCCAAGAATTCCCTTAGAAGAAATCAAGAAAGCAAGAAAGCTTGAAAGCTTAAAGAAAGACCCTTCATAGCCAAGGAATTAATTAAGGCTAAGAAGTAACCCATGTCTCAACAAAACCTATTTTCATAGCTATGATTTCCCCCGTAGGATTTCCCTATATTACTGTATATTGATGATTTGTGATATTATTATTGATGATTGATGGGATAATTCCATGGGTGATCTTGATATTGGGAGATTCTTGATAATTATGGTGTTCTTGATGATTATGTGGAGTTCTTGATGTTTATATGTCGTTCTTGATAATTGTATGGCATTCTTGGTGCTTATGTGATATTCTTACCGAATCTTGTAATTAGAAGACGAATCGTATTCTTGTTGGTATAAAAGTGATTAGAACCCTAGGTTGTATCGTATGATATTATTCTTGGTGTATCGGGTGGGGAAATCGCATGTTTGGGTGTCGATTATGTTTAGAAAAGCATGATAGGTTATGTGCTGTACGTTTCTCGTATTTGATCCGTTAATTGTCTACGTGTTGATCGTTAATTGCGTTGTAAAGTGTCTAAGCATGGTTTCGGGTTCCACAATGGTTCCCGGGGCGTTTTGTGTATAAAGAGCCAGTGGGGGTAGGTGGGGGGTAGGGGACCCGCCACTTACCCGCGGCCAGAAGGGACGTCTCCGGTAGCGGGCAGCCGGCGGGCGGGCAACTGCCCGCCGGCGACCCGCTGCCCGGAACAGTGCTTACCGGCGGGCAGCCAGCGGGTGGCCCCCCACCCACCGGCTACCCGCTGGAAATTCCCACACTCGGGACCCCGGCTTCCCCGTTTGATGTTTCCCCGACCCCCGTGGTGTCCCAACGGACTCCGTCTATCGTGCCTATGTCTAGTTTGATGTTTCGGGTACCGTTCGTAGGTTGTATGAGTCTTATATATTGCATGCTAGTTGAATTGGTATCCCGTTGACCCAGGTATGAGAAGTATGAACCCCTTAGGAATATTCCTAGTTGTGGATGACCACGCATAGGTTTCGTTATACGTTTTTCCCCCCCTTCCCAATGTGCTAATATGGGCTGCATGTGCTTGCTAAGTGTTATGTGTGCATGTTACCCCGATTTGGTTGAGATCAATCGGGCTATACGGGCAGTCGGATGGGCTGAGAACCATACCGGCTGTTAACCAGGCTGGTAAAGACCGGTCAGGTATATAAATATTATATAGGACTAAGTTCCACTATACGGGTAGTCGGATGGGCTGAGAACCATACCGGCTGTTAACCAGGCTGGTAAAGACCGGTCAGGTATATAAATATTATATAGGACAAAGGTCCACTATACGGGCAGTTGAATGGGCTGAGAATCATCCCAACTGTTAACCAGGCTGGTAAAGACCGGTCAGGTATATAAATATTATATAGAACTGCGGTTCATCAGTCGGTTGCGATCGACTCCTCCGTAATGTGAGACGGGGCAGGGTGCTGCGGGGCCGTGTCAGACCTATTTGCGCTGACCCTCATGTATGGGCATGCGATTGGTCCTGTGGCGCCAACAAAGTGTGCTATATGATGAGATAGGAAGGATTGATGTTGTGACTGTTATGGAAACGTGACCATAGGATTCTTGCTAGTAAACTATACATGTTTAATTGTGATTATTGGTTGTGTTTATTTATAACTGTGCCCTATGTCGAGAATTGTATATACTTGATTATGACTGTTGATTGTGTGTACCCCTATCTGTCGAGTCATTCCCGGTTTTAAAAGCTAGAGTTCGTAGGATATATCTTCTTGCTCAAAATGGTTTTCGTATATCTATATATATCTCTATATGTATTGTATTTCAACGCGTTAGAGTGGGTTACCAGCATCTCTCGCTGAACAGATATATTTGGCTTTCAGGCACAGAAAAGTAAGTCACTGGAGCGCGCTAGAACTTGGAGCGTAGA